TTATTGGTGTAGACGAATGCTTGTGATTTTTGCACATTGATTTTATATCCTGAGACTTTGCTGAGGTTGCTTATCAGTTTCAGGAGTTTTTCGGCTGAGGCGATGGGGTCTTCTAGGTATACTATCATGTCGTCTGCAAATAGAGACAATTTGGCTTCCACCTTTCCTATTTGAATACCCTTTATTTCTTTTTCTTGCCTGATTGCTCTGGCTAGAACTTCCAGTACTATATTGAATAGGAGTGGTGAAAGAGGGCATCCTTGTCTAGTGCCGGATTTCAAAGGGAATGCTTCCAGTTTTTGCCCATTCAGTATGATATTGGCTGTTGGTTTGTCATAAATAGCTTTTATTACTTTGAGATACGTTCCATCGATACCGAGTTTATTGAGGGTTTTTAGCATAAAGGGCTGTTGAATTTTGTCGAATGCCTTCTCTGCGTCAATTGAGATAATCAGGTGGTTTTTGTTTTTGGTTCTGTTTATGTGGTGAATTACGTTTATAGACTTGCATATGTTGAACCAGCCTTGCATCCCCGGGATGAATCCTACTTGATCATGATGGATAAGTTTTTTGATGTGCTGTTGCAATCGGCTTGCCAATATTTTGTTGAAGATTTTTGCATCTATGTTCATCATGGATATTGGCCTGAAGTTTTCTTTTCTTGTTGGGTCTCTGCCGGGTTTTGGTATCAGGATGATATTGGTCTCATAAAATGATTTGGGAAGGATCCCCTCTTTTTGGATTATTTGGAATAGTTTCAGAAGGAGTGGTACCAGCTCCTCTTTGTGTGTCTGGTACAATTCGGCTGTGAACCCATCTGGACCTGGGCTTTTTTTGTGTGGTAGGCTCTTAATTGCTGCCTCGACTTCTGACCTTGTTATTGGTCTATTCATAGTTTCAGCTTCCTCCTGGTTTAGGCTTCGGAGGACACAGGAGTCCAGGAATTTATCCATTTCTTCCAGGTTTACTAGTTTATGTGCATAGAGTTGTTTGTAATAATCTCTGATGGTGGTTTGAATTTCTGTGGAATCTGTGGTGATTTCCCCTTTATCATTTTTTATTGCATCTATTTGATTGTTCTCTCTTTTCTTTTTAATCTGGCTAGTGGTCTGTCTATTTTGTTGATCTTTTCAAAAAACCAGCTCTTGGATTTATTGATTTTTTGAAGGGTTTTTCATGTCTCTATCTCCTTCAGTTCAGCTCTGATCTTAGTTATTTCTTGTCTTCTGCTGGGTTTTGAGTTTTTTTGATCTTGCTCCTCGAACTCTTTCAATTTTGACAATAGGGTGTCAATTTTGGATCTCTCCACTCTTCTCATGTGGGCACTTATTGCTATGTATTTTCCTCTAGAGACTGCTTTAAATGTGTCCCAGAGATTCTGGTATGTTGTGTCTTTGTTCTCGTTGGTTTCAAAGAACTTCTTTATTTCTGCCTTCATTTCATTGTTTATCCAGTCAACATTCAAGAGCCAGTTGTTCAGTTTCCATGAAGCTGTGCAGTTCTGGGTCAGTTTCTGAATTCTTAGTTCTAACTTAATTGCACTATGGTCTGAGAGACTGTTTGTTATGATTGCCGTTCTTTTGCATTTGTGGAGGAGTGCTTTACTTCCAATTATGTGGTCAGTTTTAGAGTAGGTGTGATGTGGTGCTGAGAAGAATGTATATTCTGTGGATTTGGGGTGGAGAGTTCTGTAAATGTCTATCAAATTTGCTTGTTCCAGGTCTGAATTCAAGCCCTGGATATCCTTGTTAATTTTCTGTCTGGTTGATCTGTCTAATATTGACAGTGGAGTGTTAAAGTCTCCCACTATTATTGTGTGGGAGTCTAAATCTCTTTGTAAGTCATTAAGAATTTGCCTTATATATCTGGTTGCTCCTGTACTGGGTCCATATATATTTAGGATCGTTAGCTCTTCTTGTTGTATTGATCCTTTAACCATTATGTAATGACCTTCTTTGTCTCTTTTGATCTTTGTTGCTTTAAAGTCTATTTCATCGGAGATGAGAATTCCAACTCCTGCTTTTTTTTGCTCTCCATTTGCATGGTAAATCTTCCTCCATCCCTTTGTTTTGAGCCTTTGTGTATCCTTGCATGTGAGATGGGTTTCCTGGATACAGCACACTGATGGGTTTTGGTTTTTTATCCAATTTGCCAGTCTGTGTCTTTTGATTGGTGCATTTAGTCCATTTACATTTAGAGTTAATATTGTTATGTGTGAATTTGATACTGCCATTTTGATGCTAGCAGGCTGTTTTGCCCATTAGTTGATGTAGATTCTTCATTTTGTTGATGCTGCTTAGCATTTAGTGTGTTTTTGGAATGGCTGGTACTGGTTGTTCCTTTCTATGTGTAGTGCCTCTTTCAGGAGCTCTTGTAGCAGGCCTGGTGGTGACAAAATCTCTGAGCACTTGCTTGTTCACAAAGGATTTTATTTTTCCTTCACTTCTGAAGCTCAGTTTGGCTGGATATGTAATTCTGGGTTGAAAGTTGTTTTCTTTAAGGATGTTGAATATTGGCCCCCACTCTCTTCTGGCTTGTAGAGTTTCTGCCGAGAGATCTGCTGTGAGTCTAATGGGCTTCCCTTTGTGGGTGACCCAACCTTTCTCTCTGGCTGCCCTTAGTATTTTTTCCTTCATTTCAACCCTGGTGAATCTGACGATTATGGGCCTTGGGGTTGCTCTTCTTGTGGAGTATCTTTATGGTGTTCTCTGTATTTCCTGGATTTGAGTGTTGGCCTGTCTTGCTAGGTTGGGGATATTTTCCTGGATAATATTCTGAAGAGTATTTTCCAGCTTGAATTTGTTCTCTTCGTCACCTTCTGGTACACCTATCAAACTTAGGTTAGGTCTCTTCACATAGTCCCACATTTCTTGGAGACTTTGTTCATTCCTTTTCGCATTTTTTTCTCTAATCTTGGTTTCTTGTTTTATTTCATTGAGTTGATCTTCGAATTCTGATATGCTTTCTTCTGCTTGGTCAATTCAGCTGTTAAAACTTGTGCATGCTTCGCGAAGTTCTTGTGTTGTGTTTTTCAGCTCCTTCAATTCATTCATATTCCTCTCTAAATTATCCATTCTTGTTATCATTTCCTCGAATCTTTTTTCAAGGTTCTTAGTTTCTTTGCATTGATTTAGAACATGTTCTTTTAGCTCACAGAAGTTTCTCATTACTCACCTTCTGAAGTCTAATTCCGTCATTTCGTCACAGTCATTCTCTGTCCAGATTTGTTCCCTTGCTGGTGAGGAGTTTTGGTCCTTTGTAGGAGGCGAGGTGTTCTGGTTTTGGGTGTGTTCCTCCTTTTTGCGCTGGTTTCTTCCCATCTTTGTGGATTTATCCACCTGTCGTCTGAGTAGTTGCTGACTTTTCGATTGGGTCTCTGAATGGACTCCCAGATTGTTGATGATGAGGCATTTCTGTTAATTGGTTTTCCTTCTAACTGTCTAGCCCCTCCACTGTACAACTGCTGAGGTCCACTCCAGGCCCTGCTTGTCTGGGGTACACCTGTAGCAGCTGTGGAACAGTGAGGGATGCTACCAGTTTCTTCTTCTGCTATCTTTGTCCCAGAATGATGCCTGCCAAATGTCAGTCTGATCAGTCCTTTTTGAGGTGACTCTTTGGATATACAGGGGTCAGGGAGCTTGAGGAGACGGTCTATACTTTATAGGAGCTCAAGTGCTGTGCTGTGAGCTCCATTGTTCATTCAGGGCTGTTAGGCTGCTGCGTTTAAGTCTGCTGCAGCAGAACTCATAAAACCCCTTTTTTTCCTCAGATGCTCTGTCTCGGGGAGTTGGGGCTTTCTTTATGAGTGTCTGTTGCACTATCCTGCCCAGCTAGGAGGCAGTCTAGTCACTATTTGCCTGCTGAGGCTCCGCCCTGCTGGCATGGGGTCCGCCCTGTTGCTGCGGGCTCTGCCCTGCAGCCGCGGTCTCTGCCCTGCTGCCACAGGCTCTGCCCTGTGGCGAAGTCTCTCTGTTATGGCAGGTTGCCTTGGCAATGGCAGGCTGCATCAGCAATGAGAGTGTACCTCAGTAGGGGCGGATTGCCTCAGTAATGGCAGGCGCCCCTCCCCCACCGAGCTGCACCATCCTGGGTTCAGCTGTGCCCACAGTGAAACTCTCCACCCGGAGCGTTTCGAATCGCTGTTTTGTTTGTCCCTGTGGGGGTGGAACCCCACCGTGCCTGCTCACCTGGCTCCCTGCCTCAGAGTGCCTTTTTTTTTTTTTTTTTTAATTGAACGGTTGGCTCTCTCCCTGGTGTTTCAGTCACCTGCTGTTGGGGCACTGGGATCTGTGTGATTTTCCATGCAGTGAGCCACTGTACTGACTCAAATGCCACTTCCCAGGAATCTCCTGGTCTGGCTCACTGTCCAAGTCCCGTTTAATCAGATGGATATGCTAATCTGCCCTCCCAAATCTCAGATTGCCGGTTTAACAGGGCACCGGACCAGTGTGTTTTGTGCGGAGTGTTGCAGAGTGCCGCTGCACTGCAGCGCCGGCCAAAGCGGCCGCTCCAGCCAAAACAGCTGCGCTGGCATCTTGTTTCTCTCCTACACCTGGGAATTTCCCCATGCTGTGGGCATTAAAGATCCATCTGGAAATGCAGCTTTGACTCACCCTCTGTGTGTTCACTGAGAGCTGCAATCCTGAGTTCTTACCACGCCATCTTGAATCCCCCCTCCTTTTTTTTTGTCGGGACAGTTATTTTTAATAGGTAAAGCACCTATCATGAACTCCCATAATACCCTCCATCCAATATCCCATCTAAATCAAGAAAAGCACCCTCAGCCAGCATGTCAATGGGAAGAAATGATTCAGAAATACTAGTAGAACATCTCCTTCATTAATCTTTGACCTAGTTTATATTCTGATACAATATTGCTCCAATTTTTAGAACTTCCTTTGCAGAGAAAATACACCTAAATATATTATTTTTAAGCATGTTTCAAGTAGAGCTTGCCCAAACTTGGCCCTTCCTTTTTCTATTTTTTATTTATTTTCTTAGACAAAAGAATTTATTATCATCTTTCTACCAAGTCAACATCAGGCATTAAAAAAATGTAAAACAAAGTGAAAAGTATCCTTCTCGACTCATCATAGACCCAGAATCTGCTGGTCACCAACAGCTATCTTCATTTCACCTATTATAGCCAACTTTTATCAGAGAGCTATTATAGAGGCATACTTTTTAACAGAGTATGTCATTTTGTGTTTTATGAATTTTAAAGTTTTTTTGTTTTAAACTTTTATTTGCATTTTCTTTTGCTGAATTATTTGTCTCTTAAGTTTATGCTTCTTGTGGGGTATCTTTTTCTTCTGTACAGTCATCTCCTTCCCTGCTTTTGGAACAATGTGTTTCTTTTCTCTAAGCATCATCTGGATATCACAGGAGGAGTCTGTGGATGGGTTCATCTGCCCATAAGTTCTATAAGTCAAGTGATACATTAATGGGTGCCTTGTTCCCCCTGGATGTGCTCAATAACCAGGGAATATACATCTATACCCTTAAATGCAGCATAACTGCATTTTTAAGCAAATTCCAGTACCTCTTCTGGGCCACCGATGCTGAGTCCAGCCCCAATATTGGTTGTCTTGGGTACAGCTACCAACTCCACCTTCTAAGGTTGCAACATATAATTTATGCATAAGATTTCTCTCCAGTGTGAGTCCTTCCATGTGTTCCAAGGTGTGAGATCTGAAGGCTTTCCCACATTCTTACATTCATAGGGTTTCTCTCCAGTGTGCATCCTTTCATGATATCGAATGGAATTGAAAGAAACAAAGGCTTTCCCACACTGTTTACATTCAAATGGCTTCTCCCCAGTGTGAGTTATTTTATGTGCATAAAGGCATGTGGAACTATGGAATGCTTTCCCACATTCACTACTTCTCCCAGCGTGCGTTCTTTCATGTATTCTCCCCACTGGGGCTTCTCCCCAGTGTGCGTTCTTTCATGTATTCGAAGACTACCAGAATGACTAAAGGCCTTACCACATTGTTTACATTCATATGGTTTCTCTCCAGTGTGAGTTTGTTTGTGGTAAGATACAAACTGAGACACATCAAGGCTTTCCCATGAAAGTTACATTTATAGGGTCCATCTCCACTGTGCATTATCCTGTGTTTTCGAATGCTTGAATGGGAAATAAAGCTTTTTCCACATTCATCACAGTCATAAGGTTTCCCTCCAGTGTGAGCCCATTCATGTGTTCGAAAGTAAGGGAGATCACTGAAGGCTTTCTTACAGTATGTATTTATATGGCTTCTGTCCGTATTTCTGATACTCATATGGCTTGTGTCCAGTGTCAGCTCTGAGGTGCCTTCTAAGGGATGCATGACCCATGCTGACTTCTCCATGTGATTTTACTTAAGGAGGAGTTTTCTTCTTCAGCATGTCATCTAGAATGGGATTTTTGTACTCATCTTCAATTTTCTGATCTTTGTGATTTTACTTAAGGAGGAGTTTTCTTCTTCAGCATGTCATCTAGAATGGGATTTTTGTACTCATCTTCAATTTTCTGATCTTTCAATTTTTTACCTACAGAAGCCACGTTCCTGAACATCTCCTGCATTACATCTCTGTAGAGATTCTTCTGGGAAGGATCCAGCAAAGCCCACTCATCCTGGGTGAAGTTCACATCTACATCCTCAAAGGCCACTGAATCCTGAAACATTGGAGGCTTCAGAGGGTTGTTTCCCTTGGTCATGTTCTCTCTTATTCGGCGTAGAATCTAGTTCAAGTTATTTTGCAGAGTTCTGGTTTTTCCGTTATTAAACCACAAGCCATGACTGGGTGTTTCTCATTCAGGAATCACTGTTTGCTCAAGTGAACTCTATTTTTTTTCAAACTCCTTTTCATTTCACAGCTTCCAGGTGTCCTGGCCTCCTCTCCACGGATCCCTCGTACAGTCCAGTCACTTCACAGGCAACCGGGCGACAGAAGCTATGGCGGAGGCACCTGGTCCATCTTGGGGCCAGAAAGCCGAGATCCCGACCTCCCCTCGGTGCAGACGCCCTGGAGTCAGGAGAGAGGGAATGCCAGCCCTTCCTTTTTCATCATGGAAGGGCCAAATGACCAAACCTACAGCTTATCAGATTTCAGCTACCGTGCATCATTAATGGCCATCTGCTGCCCCTTGCTTACTTGACCCCTTACCTCTGTGCCCTAAAAGGGGATTGTGTAAGGATAATAAACACTCACTTTCAGGCAGACCAGAGCCAGATATGCCCATACTTCAGCATTGTAGTTGTTCAATGCATTGGCTTCAGAGAGAGCATCCTCAGCCTCTGTGAGCTCGTCCAGCTTGACAGAAAAAGGAGACATATGAGTTAGTTTAGCTGAAACCACTATGCCCTAATAATACTGGTATACATGACATATACCAACGGTTTTCAAATTTTTAATATTTTTAGCATCAGAACTCTTTTCTTCAAATGCAATCTTATATAGTGGTTCAATATATGAACCAATTAAAAGTAGAACTGCTCTGATTGAAGAGCCAGGTTGGGGATTCTGGAGCCCTGCCTAGTAGGCTCTCAACTTATATCCCTTTCTTCCTTTCCTCTACAGCAGTCCCATCAGGACATCTATAAACCATGGAGCTGCAGGTGCAAGGTTGGAAATCCACAAGAATTCACTCTTATGTGTGCATCATTCAGTGACCCCATACACAGTGGGCTGCAACATACATTGATAGTTTTTTCCTTTACATTGTGCATCCTTTTTTTGAGGTAAAAGTCTTATTTGCCTGTTGAAATACTATTGTCCAGAAAGCTTTCTTTCCCCTAGTATCAGTTATTAACAGCTCAATGCTGAGCAATCAATCCAATATTCAGAGACTCTAGGGTGCTCTCTGAGCTCTGGGCACATGGAAATCGTTATTGCTTCTTAAAACTGAGTTTGCTTTGTAAGACATTCCAAAAGGTTCTCCCCTTCCCCAGTAGAGTATCTCTTCTCTTTTTTCTCTCTCTTTTTTTTTTTTTTTTTTTGAGACAGTGTCTCGCTATGTTGCCCAGACTGGAGTGCAGCGGCACCATCTTGGCTCACTGCAACCTCTGCCTCACAGGTTGATTCTTATGCCTCAGCCTCCCAAGTAGCTAGAATTACAGGTGCCTACCACCACACCTGGCTAATTTTTGTATTTTTAGTAGGGATGGGTTTCACCATGTTGGCCAGACTGGTCTCAAACTCCTGGCCTTAAGCAATCTGCCTGCCTCAACCTCCCAAAGTGCTGGGATTACAGGCATGAGCCACTGCACCCAGCCCACTTTTTCTGTTTTAAAATAATAATGGGTTTCTAGGCCCAAGACAAGGTGGAGAACGGCCTTTCACCCATGCCCATACTTTGGTGCCCACTGTAAAGTCTCTGAGACATTAATTCACTATTTAATCAAGCTACATTTGCAGAGGATTTGCTCTGTGTCAGGCAATATGGTAGACAGTGGGAGTAAAAAAATAAAATCTTACGGTCTCAGCTACTCAGGAGGCTGAGGCAGGAGAATCAACCCAGCCTGGGAGGCAGGGATTAAAATGAGCCAAGACTGAGCCACCGCACACCAGCCTGGGTGAGAGAGCAAGACCCTCTCAAATAAAGACATACATACATATATACATACATACATACATACATATATACATACATACATACATAAAATACAATCCCTGCCTTCAAAGAGCTCATTGACAGATGTGTGAAAAATAAAACACAGGCCAGGTGTGGTAGCTCATGCCTGTAATCCCAGCACTTTGGGAGGCCAAGGTGGGCAGATCACCTGAGCTCAGGAGATGAAGACCAGCCTGGCCAACATGGTGGAACCCTGTCTCTACTAAAAACACAAAAATTAGCTGGTCAAGGTGGCACACACCTGTAATTCCAGCAACTCAGGAGGCTGAGGCAGGAGAATCGCTTGAACCCGGGAGGCAGAGGTTGCAGTGAGCCAAGACTGCATCACTGCACTCCAGCCGGGGTGACAGAGTGAGACTCTGTCTCAAAAAACAAACAAAAAAACAGAGAAAAATTAAACACATAAATTGTCTATTATAGAATAAATATTTCGTGGTGGCTCACACCTGTAATCCTAGCACTTAAGAAGGCCTAGGATAGCATTTTGGTTTCTGAATTGGTTGATCATCATAGTCCCATTCACTAAGATAGGGAATACAGAAGGTACTGGCTTAAGGAATGTAAGTACTTCAGGGATAAGGTAGGGTGTATTTTGAATATGTGCATTTTGAAGTGTCTGGAGAACCAACAACAGAGCTGTTAATTGCAGTGTTTGATGTAAGTGTCAGCCAGAGCTTGAAAAGTATTATAAATTCAAGATTTAGAATTCATCCTGGCACAGTGACAGTTAAGACTACTGGGGTAGATGATGAATCTTAGGGAGAACAAATAAGGTGACAAGAGAAAAGGACTGACTATAGAAACCAAGAGAAACCAACAACTAAGGTGAGGAAAAGATGAGAAGCCAGTAAAAAGTCTGAAAAAGGTGCCAGAGAGGAAGGTGCAGAACTCAAAGGATGTGAATGCAGCAATATTGAGGCCAAGGGAAGAAAGAGCTTCAAGAAGGAAGTGGTCAATAACGTTAAGTGCCACAGAGACTTCATCTAAGTGTCCACTGCACTTTGCCATTAGGACGTCATGTGGGACTTTTGTTAGAGAAGTTTCAGCAGAGTGGCAAGGGTATGTGTCTAATTGCAATAAAATGAAGGGCAAATAGGACAGAGAAATGAACAAACAATTTACAAGAAATACCTAGATAACGTTATTTCAACCTTAGTAACAAAAATGCAAATTAAGATACGCATCAAATTGCCAAATCATAATGCCCATTGTTAATGAGGTAACAATAAAACGGACTCTCACACTTTCTGACAGTATAAATCAGAATATAGACTTTCCAGAAGGCAAATTAACACTATAATTTAAAGACTAAAAATATTTCTACAATCTCTTAGAATGTATTCTAAGGAAATAATCAGCGTTAAATACAATGATTTATGTCCAAGAATGTTTATCTCAGCTTTATTTATTTAGTTAGTTTTTATTTTTTAGAGACAAAGTTTGTATTAGTCTGTTTTCACACTGCTGATAAAGACATACCCAAGACTGGAAGAAAAAGAAGTTTAATTGGACTTACAATTCCACATGGCTGGGGATGCCTCAGAATCATGGTGGGAGGCAAAAGGCACTTCTTTCATGGCAGAGGCAAGAGAGAATGAGGAAGAGGCAAAAATGGAAACCCCTCATAAACCCAACAGATCTCGTGAGACTTATTGACTATCATGAGAATAGCACGGGAAAGACTGGCCCACATTATTCAATTACCTCCACCTGGGTCCCTCCCACAACACATGGGAATTCTGGGAAATATAATTCAAGTTGAGATTTTGGTAAGGACACAGCCAAACCGTATCAGGGTCTCACTCTATTGCTCAGGCTGGAGTACAGTGGCATGATCATGGCTCACTGCAGCCTCCACCTCCTCAGGCTCAGGTTATCCTCTCACTTCAGCCTCCCCTGTAGCTGGGACCACAGCACATGCCACCACACCCAGCTAATTTTGTAACTTTTTTGTAGAGACATGGTTTTGCCACATTGCCCAGGCTGCTCTTGAACTCCCGGCTCAAGCAATTTGTCCACCTTGGCCTCCCAAAGTGCTGGGATTACAAGTATGAGCCACCATGCTGAGCCTATCTCAGCTTTATTTATAATAGATAACAACATGTCCAAGAATTGATCTTGTGGTATATCCCCACGTAGGTATGGTATGACTAAAACACTGATGGGAGAGGGTAAAGATTACTGGACATCCTAGTGGTAGTACTTAGCTAAATTATTTTTTTTGTTTCTATCTTAATGAATTTTTTTTTTTTTTACAATTCTCAAACAAATAGAAGCATGACTTATACCAAATAGTTTGTATAGCTGGTTCTTGTACTTTTCACAATGCTGTCAGGTTTCTGACAACTACAGATGTTTAACATCCTTTCTGGGAAGGTAGAACAGGGGGCACATAGCTTATGTATAAATGACCTTATGTCCTGGTTGGCCTTGTATAATTTTAACAACATCTTTTCCATTCTCAGAAGGGTGCTGGTTTGTATGATAAATTAAATGATCATCCAATTTATCCATATATCAAAGAACACCATGCTGTCATTCCAATTCATGTTTTTTACTATTTGGTGTTGTAAGAAGATACCAATACTATATTGTTAAGTAGAAAAAAGATTATAAAGCAGTAAATATTTACAGTTTTACATTAAAATTGCTTTCATATATATGAAAAAAATGGGAGGAAAATGCATTCAAATGTTAACAGTGGTTATCACCAACTTGTGGAGTTATGGATACTTTATTTTCTTCATATTGTATCTATTTATCTATTTTTAGAGATGAAGTCTTGCTCTGTCCCCCAGGCTGGAGTGCAGTTGTGCAATTGTGGGTCACTGCAGCCTCTGACTTCTGTGTTCCCACCAAACAATCCTCCCATCTTAGTCTCTCACATATCTGGGACTACAAGCACATGCCACCATGCCTGGTTAATTTTTAATGTTTTTGTAGAGATGGGGGTCTTTCTCTGTTGCCTAGGTTGGTTTCTCTCAAACTCCTGGGCTTAAGAGATCCTTCTACCTCAGCCTCCCAAAGTGCTAGAATTACAGGTGTGAGCCACTGCTTCTGGCTTCTTCTAAATTTTCTATAATGAACATATATTATCTTTATGGTTGAAAAAAAGCAATGAGGGGCTAAGCACAGTGGCTCATGCCTATAATCCCTGCACTTTGGGAGGCTGAGGTGGGCAGATCACTTGAGGTCAGGAGTTCAAAACCAGGCTGGCTGACATGGTGAAACCCCATCTCTACTAAAAATACAAAAATTAGCCTGGCATAGTGGTAGGCACCTGTAATCCCAGCTACTCAGGAGGCTGAGGCAGAGGATCACTTGAACCCAGAAAGAAGAGGTTGCAGTGTGCTGAGGTGGTGCCACTGCAACACTGCACCCTAGCCTGGGAGACAGAGTGAGACTCTATCTCAAAGAAAAAAAAATGTAAAAAATGAGTGAGTAGATATTTAAAGAAAAGGAGAGGCATGGAATCAATAATATACCTGAAGAAATCAGGCAGGAACATGAGGATGTACGCCTCTTTGAAGACTGGAGGAAAGGAGGGAAGGTTAAGTAGTTTTTAGGGGAAGCAGAGCAAAAAATTCTACCAGAAGCTACAGCAACTCCTCCTGCATATCGAAGGGTCACAGTAATTAATAAGCATCAATCAATTTCTTCAACGGACTTTAGATTCTCACTCCCATATGACCTTTCTCTTACGGATAATGTCACAAAAGAATGTCTATACCAAATACCATGAATTGTTTTTGTTACATAGTTTCTTGGTTCAGGTTTTTGTGGGATTTTTTTTTTAAAGATCTTTTACTTTTCTAGCTAGTTAAGTGAACTTCAGTTCACTGAACACCTTTGAAGAACAACTTTTCATTAGAGCAGACTGCCCTGATTGTTATTCCAGCATCATCACAAACCCCCAGGATGCCTGGAAGGCCAAAGAATCAAGGCCAGCTGTATGCACAGGCCTACTCTCAAGCCTTCATCCTCTTACCCGATAGCAGGCGATTCCCAGTCCTAGCCAGGTAAGGCATGAAGGTGATCTCTTACAGGCTTGCATGTAGGTTTTCTTTGCCTTTTCATACTGCAGAAAGAAAGCACCACAAACCTACTGTTCTAGAGGCTTCAAACCCCGTATTGCTGGGATGATCATGGGATCTCTGATAGTTGTGCTCCAGAACAATCTAAGTTAAGCAAGTCCTTTAATTGTACTTTTACGTGTACCTTAAGGGAACTATCACAAGAAGATTGGTGAGAGGAGATGGATAGATCACATGAAGGGCAGACTTTCACTTGGAAGTAGTTCCAAAGACATTTATAGTCTCTGTAAGAGTTGAGACAAGGAGTTACACCAAAAGTTCTGGGTGACTATAATGATTATCTGAATTCTACCTAAACTTAATGGATTACCCTCTTTCACTTTAATGCAACATAATGTGGTGGCATGACAGACATACAATCTCTGGACTAAAAGGTATACTTGATACAGCCTCATTATTCTGGAAATCTGTTCCCTTTGTTGTAATAGGTCTTAGGATTTTAGAAAAACTCAAAAAACAAACTTTCAAAAGACATAGCCCTGAAGGGACAATTTCTTGTCCTTTATCTCCAACACAAGATGCATCTATAGGAGAGCCTCAGCAAACACCCTAAGAACTGTTTGCCCAGGGACTGCCTAAATCAGCAGTGCTCTGAAGATGCAGCTTTCAGTGACATCAGAAAGAAAATTTTTCCTTATATATTTCACTACAATGGGACAGGGATTTCTCTCAAGCCTATATGAGCCTTCCTGAGTGGCACCACCTCAGCTTACTGCAATGCCACTTACGTTATATGGCACTGCAATTTCTTGTTGCTGTTGTTTTATATTAAATGAAAAGACAACTGGGTGTTCTGAGGGGAAAAAACAGAATAAAGTTAAAACAAAAGCAAGCGAGTCAAAAGGCCTTTGGCAGAATGTTGATAATTGTTAAAATGAGATGATGGATCCATGGTGGTTCATTTCACTATTCTGTTTGCTTTGCATGTATTGAAATTTCTGTAAGAGGAAGGTTTGTTTGTTTTTTTTCAAAGAACTCAGAATATTTCCCAAAATACGGGGAGGAACTGCTTCTATGGTCAAGTCAGAGTGCTCTATAGAATAGGGTTAGCGTCAGTTGGATTAAATATAACCCTTTGTGTTTAAGAGAAAGTTTGGAGAGAAGTCCTTTTGAAGCCCATGATACTTTCTTTTAGGTAAGTCGAGCTAAGAATTTCTACTACTGCTAATACAATTTTAGCTAATATAACATTACTGAGTTCTTAAGAACTATTTAGTAGCATAATGGTTAACACCAGAGACTCTCGTTTCAGCCTGCCTGTGTTTGAATGCTGCTTCCACTAATTACTGGTTGTCTGATGTTGGGCAAGTCACTTTATCTTTGGATGTAAAAGTGTCATTATATTACAATTTTTAGTCCACACAGATGGGTGTTAATGCTTGAATTACAATCAGTTCCCAGACCATGGGGTTATTCCCCATCCTCTACCCCTCACCTCTTTCTCTTCCAGATAGATGAGTCCCAGTCGCAGGAAGATGAAGTGCATCTCAGAAGCATCCACTACAAAGCTAATGGTTCGTTCATAGCATGCCTTGGCCTCAGCATGATTTCCACTCAGAAAATAGAGATGGCCCTTCAGGCCCCAGACATTGGGGCTCTGGGAAAGTAAAAAACAAGTAGTACATGGGATAAGGTAGTATTTAAAAGTACCTTGATGGCCTTTGTTTAACATTTAAATGTATACAGATTAAGTCTATTTTCTTTTTTTTCTTTTCTTTTTCAGATCAACCATCTTTTTTTTCTAAGAGTACTCAGAAACATAACCAATTAATTGTACTCAGAGAGATTTTTCTAGGTCTGCTCTCGGAATTGTTTCTTGCATTTTTCAAAGCCATTTTGGGTGTGGAGTAAATATTAAGAAAAACATTCAAGCATAACCCCCATACTATTCACATGAGAAAACAGAAGAAATCTAGAAAAATTGAAATAAACACTATCAGCCAAAGATACCCTTTTCTCTGCCCTTTGCAAAACTCATGATTACTTAAGAAAAGCAAATGGAAGGGTATAGAAAGATGAGTTTACTGACAGCTGATGACCGCCACCTCTGTTCACCAGAAATCTACTTGCGATGTGGCATCACCACCTTTAATAAAGCCCCTTCTCCAGACCCAAGAGGCTTCAGCAAAAGTCATTACCAGGTAGTCCATCTGGGCTGCTTGTTGGAGGTATTCCTCTGCCTTGGCAAAGTCCTTCTTAAGAATGTGTGTCTGGGCCAGCACCAAGTAATACTCACAGCTGGGACCTCCTTGAGGGCATAACAGCTCATGTGCAAGCACTCTGTGCACAAACTGCAAGGACAATCAGATTATAAGGAACATAGAAATGGCTGCATTGTGTCTTTTGCAGTTGAAGGATTCTGTCTCTGATAATAAATAATAAGAAATGTATTACAGAATGAAATAATTATCCTCAACTTCTAAAAGTAAAGGATGAATTACAAACATTCAGCACTTCATAGTTCCATTACCAGCTATTCACTTAGTCACCAAATGAAGATATTTCCAAGTGAATAACATGCAATATTGTACAATTATGGCCTTGCTGGTCATCATACTAGGTGAGTGTTAGAAAATAGAGCAGACGGGGAGAGGGGACTCAAGATGGCGCGGTCAGAACAACCCAGGATTGAAGCTCTCGGTGAATGCGTGGAGAGGGTGAGTCAGGGCCGCATTTCCAGACGGATCTTTGTTGCCCACAGAACGGGGAAATTCCCAGGTATAAAAGAGATGTGGGACGCCAGGCAGAGGCTTTGGCTGGCGCTGTATCACCGTGGCGCTACACAGCGCTCCGCACAAAGCGCACTGGTCCGGGTGCCCTGTTGAACCGGCAATCTGAGACTTGAGAGGGCTGAACTTGAGACTGAACGGGACTTGGACAGTGAGCCAGCCCAGGAAATTTCAGGGAAACAGCATTTGGGGTAGCGCAGTGGGACAAACAAAATGGCGATTCCAAATGCTCCGGGTAGAGAGGTTCCCTGAGGGCACAGCTGAACCCAGGACGGTGCAGCTCGGTGGGGGAGGGGCGTCTGCCATTACTGAGGCAATCAGCCCCTACTGAGGTACACACCTATTGCTGACGCAGCCTGCCATTGCTGAGGCAACCCGCTACAACAGAGAGACTCCGCCGCAGGGCGTAGCCCATAGCAGCAGGGCGGAGACTGCAGCAGCAGAGCAGAGCCTGCAGAAATAGGGCAAACCTCACACCAGCAGGGTGGAGCCTTGGCAGGCAAATAGTGACTAGACTGCCTCCTAGCTGGGCAGAACAGCACAACGGACACTCACAAAGAAAGCCCCAACCCCCCTGAGACAGAGCATCTGAGAAAAAAAGGGTTTTTTTAATGAGTTCTGCTGCAGCAGAATTAAACGTAGCAGCCTAACAGCCCTGAATGAACAATAGAGCTCACAGCTCAGCACTTGAGCTCCTATAAAGTACAGACTGTCTCGTCAAGCAGCTCCCTGACCCCTCTATAACCAAAAGATTGACATTTGGCAGGCATCATTCTGGGACAAAGATAGCAGAAAAAGAAACTGGTAGCATCCCTCACTGTTCTGCAGCCGCTATAGGTGCACCCCAGACAAGCAGGGCCTGGAGTGGACCTCAGCAGTCATACAGTGGAGGGGCTAGACTGGTAGAAGGAAAACCAAGTAACAGAAATACTTCATCATCAACAATCTGGGCATCCACTCAGAGACCCAATCGAAAACTCAGCAACTACACAGACGACAGGTGGATAAATCCACAAAGATGGGAAGAAACCAGCGCAAAAAGGAGGAAAACACCCAAAACCAGAACACCTCGCCTCCTAGAAAGGACCAAAACTCCTCACCAGCAAGGGAACAAAGCTGGATGGAGAATGACTGTGATGAAATGACAGAATTAGACTTCAGAAGAAGGATAATGAGAAACTTTTGTGAGCTAAAAGAACATGTTTTAAATCAATGCAAAGAAACTAAGAACCTTGAAAAAAGATTTGAAAAAAGATTCAAGGAAATGATAACAAGAATGGATACCTTAGAGAGGAATATGAATGAATTAAAGGAGCTGAAAAACACAATACGAGAACTTTGTGAAGCATGCACAAGTTTCAACAGCCAAATTGCCCAAGCAGAAGGAAGAATATCAGAAGTCGAAGATCAACTCAATGAAATAAAACGAGAAACCAAGATCAGAGAAAAAGGTGCAAAAAGAAATGAACAAAGTCTCCAAGAAATGTGGGACTATGTGAAGAGACCTAACCTACGTTTCATAGGTGTACCAGAATGTGACGAAGAGAATGAATCCAAGCTGGAAAATACTCTTCAAAACATTATTAAGGAAAATTTCCCCAACCTAGCAAGACAGGCCAACACTCAAATCCAGGAAATACAGAGAACACCACAAAGATATTCCGCAAGAAGAACAACCCCAAGGCACATAATCGTCAGATTCAACAAGGTTGAAATAAAGGAGAGAATACTAAGGGCAGCCAAAGAGAAAGGTCGGGTCACCCACAAAGGGAAGCCCATCAGACTCACAGCAGATCTCTTGGCAGAAACACTACAAGCCAGAATAGAGTGGGGGCCAATATTCAACATCCTTAAAGAAAACAACTTTCAACCCAGAATTTCATATCCAGCCAAACTGAGCTTCAGAAGTGAAGGAAAAATAAAATCCTTTGTGAACAAGCAAGTACTCAGAGATTTTGTCACCACCAGGCCTGCTTTACAAGAGCTGCTGAAAGAGGCACTACACATAGAAAGGAACAACCAGTACCAGCCATTCCAAAATCACACTAAATGCTAAAGAGCATCAACATAATGAAGAATCTACAACAACTAACTGGCAAATCAGCCAGCTAGCATCAAAATGGCAGTATCAAATTCACACATAACAATATTAACTCTAAATGTAAATGGACTAAATGCACCAATCAAAAGACACAGACTGGCAAATTGGATAAATATCCAAAACCCATCAGTGTGCTGTATCCAGGAAACCCATCTCACATGCAAGGATACACAAAGGCTCAAAATAAAGGGATGGAGGAAGATTTACCAAGCAAATGGAGAGCAAAAAAAAAGCAGGAGTTGCAATTCTCATCTCTGATAAAATAGACTTTAAAGCAACAAAGATCAAAAGAGACAAAGAAGGCCGTTACATAATGGTGAAAGGATCAATACAACAAGAAGAGCTAACGATCCTAAACATATATGGACCCAATACAGGAGCACCCAGATACATAAGGCAAGTTCTTAATGACTTACAAAGAGACTTAGACTCCCACACAATAATAGTGGGAGACTTTAACACTCCACTGTCAATATTAGACTGATCAACCAGACAGAAAATCAACAAGGATATCCAGCGCTTGAACTCAGACCTGGAGCAAGCAAACCTGATAGACATTTACAGAACTCTCCACCCCAAATCCACAGAATATACATTCTTCTCAGCACCACATCACACCTACTCTAAAATTGACCACATAATTGGAAGTAAAGCACTCCTCAGCAAATGCAAAACAACTGAAATCGTAACAAACAGCCTCTCAGACCATAGTGCAATCAAGTTAGAACTCAGAATTCAGAAACCGACACAGAACCACACAGCTTCATGGAAACTGAACAACTGGCTCTTCAATGTTGACTGGATAAACAATGAAATGAAGGCAGAAATAAAGAAGTTCTTTGAAACCAATGAGAATGAAGACACAACATGCCAGAATCTCTGGGACACATTTAAAGCAGTCTCTAGAGGAAAATACATAGCAATAAGTGCCCATATGAGGAGAATGGAGAGAACCAAAATTGACACCCTATCATCAAAATGGAAAGAGCTAGAGGAGCAAGATCAAAAAAACTCAAAACCCAGCAGAAGACAAGAAATAACTAAGATCAGAGCTGAACTGAAGGAGATAGAGACATGAAAAACCCTTCAAAAAATCAATAAATCCAAGAGCTGGTTTTTTGAAAAGATCAACAAAATAGACAGACCACTAGCCAGATTAAAAAGAAAAGAGAGAACAATCAAATAGATGCAATAAAAAATGATAAAGGGGAAATCACCACAGATTCCACAGAAATTCAAACCATCATCAGAAATAATTACAAACAACTCTATGCACATAAACTAGTAAACCTGTAAGAAATGGATAAATTCCTGGACTCCTGTGTCCTCCGAAGCCTAAACCAGGAGGAAGCTGAAACTATGAATAGACCAATAACAAGGTCAGAAGTCGAGGCAGCAATTAAGAGCCTACCACACAAAAAAAGCCCAGGTCCAGATGGGTTCACAGCCGAATTGTACCAGACACACAAAGAGGAGCTGGTACCATTCCTTCTGAAACTATTCCAAATAATCCAAAAAGAGGGGATCCTTCCCAAATCATTTTATGAGACCAATATCATCCTGATACCAAAACCCGGCAGAGACCCAACAAGAAAAGAAAACTTCAGGCCAATATCCATGATGAACATAGATGCAAAAATCTTCAATAAAATATTGGCAAGCTGATTGCAACAGCACATCAAAAAACTTATCCATCGTGATCAAGTAGGATTCATCCCGGGGATGTAAGGCTGGTTCAACATACGCAAGTCTATAAACATAATTCACCACATAAACAGAACCAAAACAAAAACCACATGATTATCTCAATTGACGCAGAGAAGGCATTCGACAAAATTCAACAGCCCTTTATGCTAAAAACCCTCAATAAACTTGGTATCGATGGAACGTATCTCAAAGTAGTAAAAGCTATTTATGACAAACCAACAGCCAATATCATACTGAATGGGCAAAAACTGGAAGCATTCCCTTTGAAATCCGGCACTAGACAAGGATGCCCTCTTTCACCACTCCTATTTAATATAGTACTGGAAGTTCTAGCCAGAGCAATCAGGCAAGAAAAAGAAATAAAGGGTATTCAAATAGGAAAGGTGGAAGCCAAATTGTCTCTATTTGCAGACGACATGATAGTATACCTAGAAGACCCCATCACCTCAGCCCAAAAACTCCTGAAACTGATAAGCAACCTCAGCAAAGTCTCAGGATATAAAATCAATGTGCAAAAATCACAAGCGTTCCTCTACACCAATAACAGACTTAAAGAGAGCCAAATCAAGAACGAACTGCCATTCGCAATTGCTACAAAAAGAATAAAATACCTAGGAATACAACTCACAAGGAACGTAAGGGACCTCTTCAAGGAAAACTACAAACCACTGCTCAACGAAATCAGAGAGGACACAAACAGATGGAGAAACATTCCATGTTCATGGTTAGGAAGAATTAATATCGTGAAAATGGCTATACTGCCCAAAGTAATTTACAGAATCAATGCTATCCCCATCAAGCTACCATTGACTTTCTTCACAGAACTGGAAAAAACCACCATGAACTTCATATGGAACCAAAAGAGAGCCCGCATAGCCAAATAAATTCTAAGCAAAAAGAACACAGCGGGGGGCATCACACTACCGGATTTCAAACTATACTGCAAGGCTACAGTAATCAAAACAGCATGGTACTGGTACCAAAACAGAGATATGGACCAATGGAACAAAACAGAGGCATCGGAGGCAACACAACATATCTACAACCATACAATCTTTGACAACCCTGACAAAAACAAGCTATGGGGAAAGGATTCCATGTTTAACAAATGGTGTTGGGAAAACTGGCTAGCCATGTGCAGAAAGCAGAAACTGGACCCCTTCCTGACACCTTACACTAAAATTAACTCCAGATGGATTAAAGACTTAAACATAAGACCTGGCACCATAAAAACCCTAGAAGGAAATCTAGGCAAAACCATCCAGGACATAGGAGTAGGCAAGGACTTCATGAACAAAACACCAAAAGCATTGGCAACAAAAGCCAAAATAGACAAATGGGACCTAATCAAACTCCACAGCTTCTGCACGGCAATAGAAACGGTCACTAGAGTAAATCGGCAACCAACAGAATGGGAAAAAATTTTTGCAGTTTACCCATCTGACAAAGGGCTGATATCCAGAATTTACAAAGAACTCAAACAGATTTACAGGAAAAAAAAAACAAGCCCATTCAAAACTGGGCAAAGGATATGAACAGACACCTTACAAAAGAAGACATTTATGAGGCCAATAATCATATTAAAAAATGCTCATCATCACTGGTCATCAGAGAGATGCAAATCAAAACCACATTGAGATACCATCTCACGCCAGTTAGAATGGTGATCATTAAAAAATCTGGAGACAACAGATGCTGGAGAGGATGTGGAGAAAAAGGAACACTTTTACACTGTTGGTGGGAGTGTAAATTAGTTCAACCATTGTGGAAGACAGTGTGGCAATTCCTCAAGGCCTTAGAAATAGAAATTCCATTTGACCCAGCAATCCCATTACTGGGTATATATCCAAAGGACTATAAATCGTTCTACTATAAGGATACATGCACACGAACGTTCATTGCAGCACTGTTTACAATAGCAAAGACCTGGAATCAACCCAAATGCCCATTGATGATACACTGGATTAGGAAAATGTGGCACATATACACCATGGAATATTATGTAGCAATCAGAAATGATGAGTTTGTGTCGTTTGTAGGGACATGGATGAATCTGGAGAACATAATTCTCAGCAAACTGACATAAGAACAGAAAATGAAATACCGCATATTCTCACTCATAGGCAGGTGATGAAAAATGAGAACACATGGACACAGGGAGGGGAGCACTAAATACTGGGGACTATTGGGGGGAAGGGGAGGGTCAGCGGGAGGGGGAGCTGGGGAGGGATAGCCTGGGGAGAAATGCCAAATGTGGGTGAAGGGGAGAAAGGAAGCAAAACACACTGCCATGTGTGTACCTATGCAACTGTCTTGCATGTTCTGCACATGTACCCCAAAATCTAAAATGCAATAAAAAATTTAAAAATAAAATAGAGCAGACAAAGGCACATCATCAACCACCCCATTTACATAGAAGGCAACATTTTCAGGCTGCTGACATTGTAAGGAAATTTACAGTGAGGCAAAACTGCCTTTCTAACAATCTAGACTTGAAATCTTAGAAACATAAATGTCTGTTTTGGATGTACCTCCAAACATTGGTTATGTTTACCAGTTTTGTACTTTGGGCTGATTTTTGTATTTTTGTACTTTTTACTTTTTTAGAGACAGGGTCTTGCTCTGTCACTAGGGCTGGAGTGCAATGGTGTGATCATAGCTTACTGCAGCCTCCTGGCCTCAAGCAATCCTCCTGCCTTGGATTTTTGCTTTTTATACTTTATAAGACCTACAAGTTTAACAAAGTTAAATATACTTGCTAAGTCAAAGGTAAATCCTTCTTTTCTTCTCCCACTGTTCCTATCTTTGCCTATAATGTAGAATTATACTTACACATTTTTAGAATACTAGAGGGAATAGCTGCAGCTATTTTTCTACCTGCCTTCTGAGTCTCTGACCTTGACGGGCTAATAACTTATTTAGCTGTGGGAGAAGAGAGCCTGTTTTTACTTTGAGGAGGGTTAATGTGTTAAAGGCTCCTGCTTAATGTGGCTCAGTCCCACCCAGTTTATAATTCTTGCCCTTTCTTGACCTTGCCTGCCCTCAAGTGGAGCATGCACTCAGCAGGATCAAAACCAAACACTCTTGGCTCCTAAATCTTGCTGTCTCTCCTACTCCTTGCTCATGGATATGCTTTTTGCTTCCCATGTAGGCAGACCTATTAGGATGCTCTGCTTTGCTGAGAGGAGGCTTCAGTTCCTTAGCTGCTCTACCTGTGTCTTCATGAGTAAGTCAAATGTGGGGCCAGTTATGTTCTCCAGCCCAGTTTTACCAATAAAAATAAGCTAATATTTTTATTCCCCCATATAGTACCGTGTATGTTTCCAATTGGATCAGAACGTGGAGGGGAAGAGGGGAATGATTTGGCTCCTGTGAACCCCCAACACTCATATAATGAATTCCCATGATAAAGTAATAACAGGCAACATATACCTTAGAGTCTGACTAAGCTCTGTTGGTATTCTACAGGGAGCAGACCTGGTGTGAGATCTGCTGCCTGATGCAAAGAGTAGTTCATGTTTGGATGTTCTTCCCATTGGGCTTAAGGTATGCTCTCAAAACCATATTTGATTTCTGCTTCACAAATATCTAAGCTTGAAAAATACCATTAAGGATAGAATAAGGAGTTCGCTAAAATCTTTCCATCTACTTGAGCTTTTCCAAACATTCTGACCTGCACAGCCTTGACTTTCATCAAGAAACGTATGGTCTCCATGAAGATGGTGGTAGTTTGAGAAACACCATAATGAAGGCCAGGATGCAGAAGAGCTGATGAACCTTCGCATTTTGATACTTCTGAAAATATTACATTAAAAAGATAGAAGATTGAATGTAACAGAAAAAGTGTCAGAAATTCAGACACAGTCACATAGCAGGGAGAGTTTTCTCATCTAATACATGAGAGAGATCATAATCTGGAAAGCAATCGACTGCTCTCCAGCAGTGGTCCCAAAAAAGGAGAACTCAAAGGTTCTCAAGGTAAATCTACTTGTGTTTCCAAATGCAAGTACAACCAAATGAAAAGGTTTTAAAAAGTATTCAGATCTTCTTGAATGTGAAACACAATTTGTAGATTCTTTTAAAAAATAAAGACCTGTTAGGAAATCATAGGTCTGTAGTTGGCTACTTCTGTGAGCTAAATATAAAATCTTTGCTTATTGAAAGAGTTCGGATTTCAGAGTCTAGTTAACATTAAATAATTTAGGCAACCAATCAACTTCAAACAAGTCAGGATTGCCATTTTATAATTTTAAGAGTCTTCATCCTTGTCTAGCTTATGCCCCTCTTCCAAGTGGAAATCTTTATTTCTCGTTACCTTTCTTTGTTGGTACCTTCTTGATAAATGCGTTAGATGATTTTTGGTTTATACTTGGATCCCAAGCTTGTGTAGGCAAAATGGGTTCTCGTGAATCAGACTGCAGTTTGGAGGATTCTTCAAGAAATTTGTCTAGAATAGATAATGTAGCTCCTGGTCCTAAATAGATTAAATTTTAATGAAAAATAAAACTTCTTACATTGGTAATTTAAAGGTTATTATAAGAGATACATTTTGCGAAGCATAAGAAACATATTCCCTAAATATTTCATGAAGGATAGGCTTGTTTGGTAGACTTGTTTATATTTTTGAATAATTTAAAGAGCACAAGCTAAACTTACAAAACAGTCTCTGTCACTGTGACCCCCCAAATACAATCTTGCTGCTAGTCCAAGCCATGATAATATCAAGCAGATCCCTATTTTAAGTTATTTGCTAAATTCAGACTCTAAAGAATCCAGATGAGAAAACTAAAATGTTTTTAGATAATGTTAAAGCCCTTTAGAGACAGGAATTCTATTCATCTTATCTCAGTGTTCAATAATAATCATCATATAATTAATCATTTAATAGCTGTATTTATTTTATTTTTATTATTTTTGAGACAGAGTTTCACTCTGTCACCCAGGCTGGAGCCCAATGGTGTGATCTCAGCTCACTGCAATCTCTGTCTCCTGGGTTTAAGGGATCTTCTGCCTCAGCCTCCTGAATAGCTGGAATTACATGTGCCTGCCACCACATCCAGCTAGTTTTTATATTTTTAGTAGAGACAGGGTTTCACCATGTTGGCCAGGCTGGTCTCAAACTTCTGACCTCAGGCGATGGTCTCCCAAAGTGCTGGGATTACAGACATGAGCCACCACACCCAGCCAATAGCTATATTTAAACAGGTCCATATGCCATGTATTGTGCTAAAGACTTTAGTGTATATCATTTATTTTTTACAACACTATGAGATATTTTTATTATGCTCCTTTTAAAAACGTGAATCAGACAGTTGTTAAATAATCTGCTGATGCTCTCAAACATGCCATGCTGCCTATCAAATGAATGTTTGACGAATAAAAATAAAAGCAATGCTAGGCAGGAAATTAGTGCTAGGTGGCCCCAAATCAAAAGAGGTCACTTCCAGCTAGGGCAAAAATGTAGCTTTGAAAAATAGGTAGAAAATGGATAGCAAAGAGGGAGGGGCATTCAGGGCTGGAAGCATGCCACTGGCGAGAGCATTAGAAGTAGTGAACTAATTATTTTAATGGGTCCTGAGGATTTCATAGGGAAAATTAAGGAAAAGATAGGTTGGGCTCGATTGATACTTGAATGCTAGGATATTTCTCCACTAGGCAAGAGGAGAACAGGGGAGATCTACTGAATAGTTTTGAGCAAAAAAAGTAGAGAATGAAAGTGATACTTTATGAAGACTATTCTAGCAGTGCTATGAGCAAGGAGAAACAATTGTGGATGAAGGCAGAGACCTGTTATTGTTATAATAGTCTGGATATTTGGTAATGGAGAGTAGTGAAAATCTAAAGGGAAGATACAGGGAATATTTTCAAAGAGAACCAACTGGTCTTAGGAATTCACCTGCGGAGGATGTAGGAAAGTTCAATAAAGAAAGAAAGAGCCATCTTTTTCTGCATGGGTGGAAAAAAGAAAGGAAGGAAGAGGGAGCAGGGATAACTCTGAGATCATAAGCTTGGGTGCCTAATATAATGATGTAGAAGCAATTTGGGAGTTGAAGTTGAGTTTACAAGTGAAAAAAATCCAACTACTGTATTGTATAGGGATGTCGGTTAAAGAGCTAAATTTGAGAGTTATGAGCAGTAAAATGAAAACTAGAAGGGCAGGTAAATTCTTAGTAAGATTGGATTATTGGAAAATGATTATATCAAATGAGTGTGAACAGAAAGAAAAGCTAACAGAAGAAACCAAAGCTGCTGGAGATGAGGAGGTAATCCAACATGACTTCAGGAAGGAGAAAGTTGTTAACAACTGCAGAGTGATCCTTGAGGAGTAACAGTGGAAAAAATGGTTAACATTAGACTTTTCTGATATATATGTATATGTATATATAGGTATATGTGTGTGTGTACATATATACATATATGTATTTTGACACAAAGCCTAGGCTGGGATGCAGTGGCATGATCATAGCTTGCTATGGCTCAAAGGAACCTCCCTCCTCAACCTCCCAAGTAGGCGGGACTACAGGTGTGCACCATCACACCTGGCTAATTAAAAAAATATTGTAGAGATGGGTCTCACTTGGCCTCCAAGTGCTGGAATGACAAGCATGAGCCACTGTGCCAGCCTGAGGTATAATTTATACAAAATAAACTATCCCCCTTCAAGTATATGTTCAGTATGTTTTAAATGTATATACTTGTATAATCACTATTATAACCAAGATATAAAGCATTACTGATATTCCAAAAAGCTCCCTCATGCTCCTCCAATTCCCAGGCCAAGGCAACCACCGATCTGCTTTCTGTCAATATAGGTTCATTTTCCTCTTTCTAGAATTTCATTTCAATGGAATTATACAGTATGCACTCTTTTGCAGCTGGTTTATCTACCTAGCATACTGTTTTTGAGATTCATCCATGTTGTACTTATCAGTAATTTGTTCCTTTTTATTGCTGAGTATTTTTTATTGTGTGGATATATGAAAATTAATAATTCATCTATCAATAGGCAGTTGGGTTGTTTCCAGTTTTGCCTATTAAAAAAAATCATTTTATTTAAACATTCGCATACAAATCTTTGCAAGGATATGTTTGTTTCTGTTGGGTTAAGATCTAGGAGTGAAACTGCTGGCATGTGTATGTATGTTTAACCTTATTTTGAAAATTGGCAGTTTTGTGCTCACTTCAGTAGCACATATATTAAATTTGAAACAGCATAGAGATTACCATGGCCCCTGAACAAAGATGACTTACAGATTCCTGAAGCATTCCACATTTTAAATGCATGTAACAAAGTATCATTTCATAAATATGTACAATTATCATGTATCAATTAGAAAAGAGGTTGGGTGAGTTGGCTCACATGGGTGATCCCAGCACTTTGGGAGGCCAAGGCAAGAGAATTGCTTGAGCTCAGGAGTTCAAGACAAGCCTGGGCAACATAGTGAGACCTTATCTCTACTAAAAAATTAGCCAGGCATGGTGGTGCATATGTGTAGCCCCAGCTACTCTTGAGGAATTGAGGTGGGAGGATTGCTTGAGCCTCAGAGGTAGAAGTTACAGTGAGCCATGACTGCCCCACAGCACTCTGGGCTGGGTAACATGGTGAGACCCTGTCTTAATAAAAGAGAAAAGTAAAAGAACCTTTAAAAATTGCCATTTATTGGAAGGCTATGTAAGTATATGAAAAAAAAAAAGAAAAAAATTACCAGTTTTCTCAAGTGGTTGCACCATTTTGCATTCTCACTAGCAATGTCTGAGAGTTCCAGTTACTCCACATCCTTATAAGTTTATATTCTCAATCTTTTTAATTTTAGCTATTCCAGTGGTAAATTTCATTGATTTTCAAATGTGAAATTAATCTTACAACCCTGCTTAGTTATATTATCTTTTATACATGTTGCTAAAATTGACTGGCTAATATTTGTTAAGAATTATTGTGTCTAACCAGGTACGGTGGCTCATGCCTATAATCCCAGCTACTTGGGAAGCTGAGGTGGGAGGATTGTTTGAGGCTAGGAGTTTGAGACCAGCCTGGGCAACATAATAAAACCTTGTCTCTTAAAAAAGAATAATAATAATAATAAAATAAGGCTGGGTGCGGTGGCTCACACCTATAATCCCAGCACTTTGGGAGGCTGAGGCTGGTGGATCACGAGGTCAAGAGATCGAGACCATCCTGGTCAACAAGGTGAAACCCTGTCTCTACAAAAATACAAAAATTAGCTGGGCATGGTGGCACACGCCTGTAGTTCCACTACTCAGGAGGCTGAGGCAGCAGAATTGCTTGAACCCAGGAGGCGGAGGTTGCGGTGAGCCGAGATCGTCCCATTGCACTCCAGGCTGGGTAACAATGGTGAAACTCTGTCTCAAAAAATAATAATAATAATAAAATAAATAAAGAAGTATTGTGACTAGGCTTATGAAAGTCATTTGTATGTACTCTTCTTTCTTTGGGATGGCTTTGTCTAGTTTTGATACCAGGGTGATTACTGTTCTCAAGGTATGAGTTTGGAAGTATTCTCTTTTTCTCTATTTTTTGAACATATGGTATGATTGGAATTATTTCTTCCCTAAATATTTAATAGAATATACCAATAAAGCCTTTTGGGCCTGGAGTTTTCTTTGTGAGGGTTTTTAATTACCCATTTAACCTTCTTAGGATATATAGACCTATTCAGATTGTTTCTTCCTGAGTAAGCCTTGTTAGTTTATGTCTGTCAAGGCATTCATACATTTCATTTAGTTTGTTAAATTTGTTGACATTAAGTTGTTAATAATTTCTCTTTATTTTTTAATATTTAAAAGATTTTCAGTGATGTCCTCTCTTATTTGTGATATTGGCAGTGTGACTTCTCTTTTTTCCTGATCAGATTTATCTGTTTCATTGATCTTCTGAAAAAACAGCTATTGGTCTTATTGACTGTCTCTATTTTTGTCTGTTTTCTAGTTCATTGATTTCTATTCTGAGCTATTATGTCTTTCCTTTTACTTATTTTGGGTTTAATTTAATTTTCTTGTTCTAGCTTCTTAAGAATCTTAGATCATAAATTTTAGACTTCTCTTATTATCCAACATAAGCATTTATAGCTATAAACTTCTCTCTAGAAACTAATGTAGCTAATCCTGCACATTTTGATTTGTTTTGCTATCATTATCATTAAGTTCAAATTATTTTCTAATTTCCTTTGTGATTTCATTTTTGACCTGTGGGTTGGTTATTTATTTGGATCTGTATGTATTTACTAATTAAGACAGAGTCTCAATAAAGGTTTTGTTATATTGCCCAGGCTGGTCTCAAACTCCTAGCCTCAAGCAATCCTTCCACCTCAGCTTCCCAAGTAGCTGGGATTATAGGCATGAGCCACCATACTTGGTTAGACTCAAAAATTCTTTCTTTCTTTTTTTTTCTTTTCTTTTTTTTTTTTTTTTACAGAGTCTCACTGTATCACCAGGCTAGAGTGCAATGGCATGATC